TATTTATTTGAGAGAGAGAATGAGATAGAGAGCATGAGAGGGGGGAGGGTCAGAGAGAGAGGCAGACTCCCTGCTGAGCAGGGAGCCCGACGTGGGACTCGATCCCGGGACTCCAGGATCATGACCTGAGCCGAAGGCAGTCGCTTAACCAACTGAGCCACCCAGGCGCCCATTTCCAAAATGCTTCTTAAATGATCTGTGATGAAGTTAAATCCATAATGGGTTAACCAAAAGACAAGGTTTTTGAGACTCAATCTCATTTCTTTGATAGAACTTCTATACTTGTAGATTGATAGCCTAAATCTGTGTGGATACGTGAAGAAGATAAAAAAATGGAGTAAACTGCATAAAAGTTCAACTGCGGGTTGTGGCTATTGAATAATACCCAAAGGATTCAGACTAATGGTGATTTTTAGGCCAGGTGGAGGTTTTTAATGATTTGCTTAGGATTATACCCTTCACTGTTTCCTATACTTTATTTTTAGGCCAGTAAATTAAAAAATAATCATAACATAATTTAAAATCAAAACAGCTAAGCCAGATCAAAATGATTTCTTTCGAAAACCTGTATCCACTATTCTTTAGGACTAGAAGATTGTGACATGACTGTATCATTTCTTTCTTCAGCTTCTCATTGATTATACCTCTTGTTACCTTTTAAAACCCTTAGGCTTGCCTTAGGGCTGGGAATGGGCAAAAATTTCTGGGTAATGGAAATGCCATCTAGTGATGGCTGCACAACTGTAAATTTAGTAAAAATTATTGAATTTTATGCTATGTAAATTACACATCAGTAAAGCTACTTGGGGTGCCTGGGTGGCACAGTCGGTTGAGCATCCGACTCTTGGTTCCAGCTCAGGTCATGATCTCAGGGTTCTGAGATCAAGCCACATGTTGGGCTCCACACTCAGCATGGAGTCTGCTTGAGATTCTCTGTCCATCTCCCTCTGCCCCTCCTGCTCGTGCTTTCTCTCTCTCTAAAATAAATAAATCTTTAAAAAATATAAAGCTATTTAAAAAATACTTCTGAGGCACCTATACAAAACTTTAGCTCTTTATATGTGTCACAGTATTAACTGTCATGTGGAAAGGAAATGGCTTGAAGGTAGATACAAAAATTTATGAAAAACTTAAAGTAGCCATATGCCTATCTATTTTTTATTTTTCTCCAAATTTTTATTTAAATTCCAGTTAGTTAACCTGCAGTGTAATATTGGTTTCTGGTGTAGAATTTAGTACTTCATTGCTTACATACTGTACCCAGTGCTCATCACAAGTGCCCTCCTTAATACCCATCTATTTTTTAAACAGATGTGATCCCCAAGAAAATGAAATGGGACAGAATGTTCAAAAGAAATATCATAAAAAGGAATTTTCTTGTCATGATACATACCCATTTCGAGAAAAGAAAAAGGTTGACATGTCTATTCCAACTAATGAAACCCCATCACCTTCTTTGCAACGGGAAGCCTGTGATGTACATTTAGAAGCAAAAGACTTCCAGCCACAGAAGGAGGTTGTTGCAACATCATCCCTTAAAACCATTGCTGTTCTGCCTCAAATGGGATCTAGCCCTGATGTGATAATTGAAGAAATTATTGAAGAAAACATGGAAAGTGAGTGAAAATTCAAAAGCAAGGAAACAATATATCATGTCTGTAATTAGAAACAAAATTAGTCCCTGTACTTAACAGAAACATATTGCTGTTATCTTATACCTCATTATGAGTTAACACTTCATTCCTTGTCCCTACTTTCACATTTTCCAAAATTAGGATAATTTTTTATTTTTAGTGTAATAATCTAACCTCTGAGATGTAAATTTAATATTTGGTTTAATTGAGATATTTGACTTTTTGGTGTTCCACACACAAACCTTGTATAAAAGACAAAAATACAAGTAAATAAGAGAGATATTTGTAGAGCAATCTCATGGTTTTGTCCTTAAATTTAAGAACAGGTTCTCTTAAATCTTCTTTTGAGAGATAATCTGTTATAAAATGAGTTAACATGAATATAATAGCATCTATATTGTAACATTTCAATGTATCATAATAGTTTGATTAGATTTACAATGCTGGTATTCTCCCCATTAACTACTACTGTGTAGTTAGTATACTACCAGTTCTTTCGGACCATTTTCAAGTTCTGTTTTAGGTCTCTTCTGCCCACCACTTCCCAATCTGTTTCATTGGCTGATTCTCCAGAATGACCTTTTGAAAGCAAAAAAAAAAAAAAAACCAAAAACACATTTTTGGTTGTTTCCATTCTATTATTATTGCTGATATCTCAGTGAGTTAAGAAACCTATCATGACTATATCTACTGATAAAAAGGAGTCTTCCATTTCCAGTATTTTGCCAATTCAAGTACAGCTTTTTAAGCAATAGTGTGCCATTGTCATCCTAATAAAACTAGTACAATTGCCTTTATTTCCTATTTTGATGAAGCATGCTTCACAGATTATCTTGTGGAAACACCTAGAGATCCAAAAAAGCCTTTTCAGAAAAAATCGTCTTTCCCTTTTGGATCAAAAGCAGGTACTTTAACAACTCTGAACTTGATGTTATGGAGTTTGCTCTGTGTAAAGTAACTCTAATGTAGTGTGAAGGCAGTGAATAAAATTTACTGTTAACTAAAACTTCTTCCTTTTAATGTTACAAGTTTTAGTTGTTATTGGCAAAAATATTTCTGAAATTTGTAACACTTCTCTCAACTGCCTCCCCAGTTACACATATTTATCTCTTTACCCCATCCTCAATGTGGGTATTATTCTTTGTGGTCTGTATTGGACAGTTAAAATGATCTATTTGTTTCATTTTTATCATCTCTCTTTACTGTCTCCAATTCCACTCCTCCTATTCTTTGTGTTTTAAACATTTTTAGTAAATAAAACATCTACATTGTTCAAAAATTATATATTAAAAGTGTGAAATTTTTCCCTAACCTGTCCCATTTCATTCAGTCCCTCCCTCTCTTCCAGAGTTTCTTTATGCATATACAAATATATATTATTATTATGTTTTTGTACACGAAACAAAGCATACCATGCACACTGTTCTGTTCTTTTAATTCCTTTTTTAACATTATATTCTGGACATCTTTTCAGTAGCTACACTTGGCTTCATTACTGCTATATACAAAAAATTTTTCTCTTTTATTCTACCCTCACCACCCATGCAACCTCCACCAAAACACATACATCTTCCCCTAAATGGTGCTCAATATATTGGCTTTGCCCAGACATTTTTTCACACTTCTCTAGCCAGATAAGATTTGTATTCAGAGTGTCTATGAGCTTATTCTTGGTTCTTTGGGTATAGTATAAACAGGATTTTGGGGATATGCAAGAGACCTACTTATTATCAATAGAGTTCGGAGTTCCAGAATGTTCATAAATAAACTCTGATGTTTTGTTATAATGTAGTAGAGTTACAGTATATCTTGACTTTAGAATCTAACTATCAGATGAACTGCAATTCCACTTAACATACTTGGCAAGTAAAATAAAATATTTGCAGCTCAGATTGCTAAAGAATTTAATGTTGAAAGCGGGATCTATTTGTCTTATTGGTTACTATTTTGGGTTTGGACTCTTGGGGGGCCTAAGTATTCTAGAGTTTTCAGTGCCACAAGGCACTTAATATTCTTTAGAGGATTATTGCAGTTTTTTGAATTCTTTCCTAACTTATGATTTATTAATGTGGTTTAAATATTCTTATCTAGGTTCTCCTGAGCTAGTTTTTGTAAGCCATGTAATACATCCTTGCCACTTTTACATCCGGAAGTATTCACAAATTAAAGATGCAACAGTATTGGAAAAGAAGGTGAATCAGTTTTGCAGTAAGAGTTTACACCTTGAGCCTTCAGACATTTTGGAACTAGGTAATGAAATCTTACTCCAAGCTAAAATATTAAGTTTATTTAAATATTATAGTATCTGGCCAATCCACATAGACCTTTTGTAATATAGATTTGTGCTCCAGGCATAAAAGTTTTATAATTATATAACATTTTATTTAGGTAAGTTAGCTAAATATTGACTGCTGAGTGAGGTATATACAAAAACTATTATTATGGAGTGAAAGTAGTTATTTTTTAAATTACAAAACCCTTCACAGGTTATGTAGTTTGCTCCCTTGTCTCCAGGGAAAATTGGCCTGTAAGATGATTCCTTGTAGTATAACTACAGTCCCTTGCTGTCCACATGTGAATGTTGAGGATGTCATTAAGCACTTAAATTAGGTGCAGGAGGACAGTGGTGTCTATTTCCTAGGGCCACTCAGAGGGTAGTTGGTAAACTTAATCAGCCTATCTTAATTCTAAGGGTATGTGTAATTTGCCATAATTTAGGCTTTTATTGCAAATATTTTCCTTATAACACATTGACTAAATTTGATTTTACTCTATAATAAGGTGAAGCTATGATTTGTTTGATTAACAGAGAAAACTGCTCTGTTAATAGCAATCAATGCCTATACATAATACCAAAAAATATTATCTGTTTAAGGTTATATAGTAGTTCTTTAAGAATGTGATTAACTCTCAGCTCATCTATGTGGCATATCAGAATATCCAAAAACTAAGATTATCATATACTTCTGACAAAAATTGATGATAATTTTAAACTTTAGATAACATGAAATTATGAATATCTAAGAAAAGAGAAGTGTAGTATTAAACTTTTATGGCTACAAATATTTCTCTTAAAATTTGATACATGCCCAAAAGCGTTCAATTTAGATACAGAAAATGTTCTGAAAAAGCCACAAAGTCATCCTTTGTTTTAAATTAAGGATAATTATTATTTCAAGGTAAATAAATTTACATGACTTAAATACTCATTTATATTTTGAGAAAGTGACAAGGGGGAGAACTGTGATATGATGCTTTAAGAGGATATCCTCTTGTTCCCTTTTCCTACCTGTGCTCTTCATTATAAAGAACAAATGTCTTCAATAGGCTTTTATCTTACCTATTGCAGAAAGAATGGTTTCATAGCATATAGTTTAAAATTCAGACTATTGTTTATGTGGTATATCAACATAAACATATTGTTTATGTGGTATATCAACATAAGTAAAGGTTGATGCTTGAGGCCAAATAAACGTCCTAATGTGCCTGTCACCTATCCTGTTTTTATTTGCATATACAGAGGATATTTATACAGCATCCTTCTGTATATAATCAGTGGTCAGATCTACCAATTTATCTCTGATAGGTAGCTTAGTAGTTAAGAGAATGGGCTCTAAGACTACCTGATTCTCCTTGTACCTCCTCTTTGCCTACCTGTATGATGGAAGCCCCATCTCCAGAAGGTTATTGGGTGGAGTAAGTAAATTCAAACATAAAATACTGAGAACATCACTGAGCTCATAGTAGGCATTCAAATTCAGGCCTCTTTCTTCCTTGACCCTTTTTTCCTGGTTATTAATTTGTAAATCATCTGATCTCTCTGCTGCTAGGTCCTTGGTTCATCTTCCCCTTCTCTGAACTCCACTGTGTATTAATTTAATTTTGGCATGTCACATACTGCCTTTCATTGTTTCTTTACTTTGATTCCTCTTTACCAAGAGAAGGTAATCATTTCTTCCTTTATGCTACCAAAGAATTTTATAAATTTCAGCATGTATATATCTGTACATGAATATGTATGTATGCATAGGGTAGAAAGTCTTTATTGTTGTAAGTACAGTCATTTACTTGCCTATATCTTTTCCTTTCTTGAGCTTCTTGATGGCAGGATAGTCTCATTCATCTTTGTTACAGCTCATAAAATATAGGTCCTCAATAAGAGACTGGTAACTTTGTTTTTACCTCCCCATTTAGCTATATAACAGGAACTATCACAATATACTACCTTCATAGCACTTGACATGTACTATGTCATTAGTAAATAAATGAATTAAAACTTCTTAGTGGTGGAACTAATATACATGTTCATAAATTAGAGCTTATTAGGTATTTTTCTCCATAAACACTAATAATGATTTGTCTTCTTCATTATTTAGGTGCAAGAATATTTGTCAACAGTATTGAAAATGGAATGTGGTGTCGAGGAACTATCACTGAATTAATTCCAATAGAAAGTGAAAATATTAGAAAACTTTGTAGTCCAACCAAATTCTCAGTCCATGAAGTTGGACTAATACAAATATTCATGGTAGATTTTGGAAATTCTGAAGTCCTAATTGTTGCAGGGTATGATATTTTATAGTTATTATGTGTTCCTGGCCTGTTTAGAAACATTTGTTATCAGGGGAGTAAGATACTAAAGAATAAAGGAAATTGGAAAGGAGTAGAAAGGAGTAATTTATCATTCTTTACTTCTAAGGCATATACTTTTTATTTTGCTCAATTATTTGTTTTACTAATTACTAAATTAGTCAAGTATTATCATTTATCAGTGTTACTACATGAGGAGCTTGGAAAAGGAGTGGGTTTTGTTGTTTTGGAAAAGGAGCTTTTTGATGTATCCAAAATAAGTACTTTTCTATGTTGCTTCAAAACGGAATGATGCACAAAAATATTTCTTTTAAATAAAGTATTACAGTTAGCTGCAGGATGATTGAGTAGAATTTTAAATCTGATTTCTATAATTAATGCATATTAAAGTGGCATAGTGTCTAACCCTAGGTACTCAAAAATATTTCCCTCAGTCTTCTAGGAAAATAAAACAAAAATAACAATAAATAATAAAAATAAAACTGAAAATGTTTCTATAGTAAGGACCAGTATTAACTACATAGAATGGTCACTAACTATTTAATGGTCATAGCTTTATAAATAAATAGGTTTCTGTTTGGGGGCATCATTATCCCCTTTAAGTTTAAACTTGAATAGATATATGAAAGACAATTCAGATAAAGTCAATTGAGATTTTATTCTATAGATAAAAGTAGTGTGTGTGCTTATAAAATCTGGATTAAATCTATGTAGTAAGAAAGCATGAATTAGAGTACAACTTTCTAGAAGATTTAGCTTAAGGAGCGTATCCTTAGAAATGCATAGCTTTTATGGGGGAAAGCAAGTTTGGGTGTCAAGTATTATTTTCAATAAATATTACTTGAATTCTTTTAGGGTTGGTGATACCCAAACAAGATCAGAACACACTGCTGAGCAGCATATAGTACTAAATGACTTATGCCCAGTTCTAAGGAAGTCTGAACCATATATTGAAGGGCTGCTGAAAGAAATCCAGCCATTAGCACTGCCATGCTCATTGAAAGACATTGTTCCACAGAATTCAGTAAGTGAGCGTTAAATTATTTCTTCTTCCGGGGGCTAAATATCTCAATTTTAGCTATGTATTGCCAGTTAGATTGCAAAGTATAGGTTCAAGGCACCAATTCTTTTGGTAAATACATTTTGCATAATAAACTATCAGTCCATAATTGGAAACATTCTTAATGGGAAATTGAGTTGAATAAATATGTAAGAATGAATAAACATATCCTTGGAATGAGTCCAAATAAACCACTAAATTTGAGTCACATATGGAGAGAAAAATAAATTTTAAAATACAGTATGGCGTGTATTTCTGTAAATTTCTTCACTGTTTTCATGGCACTTCATTCATTAGTTGTAGCCCATATTGCATTCTGCTTTGTATTATTTATTTATATTCATCCCCCAGCAAGACTTAAAAACTCTTACAAGACAGGAATTGTGTGTAAGAATATATATTAAATGGTTATATTATGAAGGCTTTGAAAGAAGGAATCGTGTCTTTGCCTATCATTGTATTCCCAGTGCTTAGCAGATTACCTAGCACATGATAGGCATTTAACAGATATTTGAAAGAATGAGCAAATGAATAAAAAATGTAAAAGGAAACATAAGTATTAGCACTGGTGTTTTCCTCAAAAGGGTAAAATTGGTTTAAATTTTGTCTTTTATACTTTTTTGCATTTTCTGAGTAAACTTTATAATCTTTAGAAAGAGGTTTTATTTTTTGTTTTTAAGAAACATGTAGCTTTTAAAAAATTTGAGTATAGTTGGCACACACTGTTACATTAGTTTCAGGTATACCACATAGTGATTCACCAACTCTGCTGGAGGTTATCACAATTCCAGATTTCAAAATATACTACAAAACCAAAGTAATAAAAAAAACCAGTATGGCACTGGCACAAAAATAGACTTATAGATCAATGGAACTGAATAGAGAGCCCAGAAATAAAGCCATGCTTATATGATCAATTAATCTATGACAGTGGAGATACAGTGGGGAAAAGACCATCTCTTCAATAAATGGTGCTGGGAAAACTGGACAGCTGCATTGCAGAAGAATGTAACTGGACCACTTTTTTATACCGTGCACAAAAAGAAACAAAATTAAATTTCTAAATGTGAGACCTGAAACCATAAAAGTCCTAGATAAAACATAGACAGTAATCTCTTTGACATCAGCTTTAGCAATATTTTTCTAGATATGTCTCCTCAGGTAAAGGAAATAAAAGCAAAAATAACATATTTGGGACTACACCAAAATAAAAAACTTCTGCACAATGAAGGAAATCATCAACAAAACAAAAAGGCAACCTACTGAATGGGAGAAGATAGTTACAAATGATATATCTGATGAAGGGTTAATATTCAAAATATATAAAGAACTTAACACCAGGAATGTGTAGTTTTAACCCTTGAAATTTATTTTAGGTATGGGAAGTTAAAAGTTCAAAGATCAACTTAAAAGTTTTTTTAACGGGTGAATATTTTTCCGTATTATTTAAGTAGCATATACCTCATATATTCCTAGTTAAATGGAAACTAAGTTAACCAATAATGATTATAAATATCTTGATTGCATCACATGGCTTCCATTATACTTTCAAAATTACCTTTTTTTTTCTTTATTTGAGAGAGAGAGAAAGCACAAGCCGGGATGGGGAGGGGAGAGGAAGAGGGAGAAGCAGACTCTTTGCCAAGCAGGGAGCCCAATGTGGGGCTTGATCCCAGGACCCTGGGATCATGACCTGAGCCGAAGGCAGATGTTTAACCAACTGAACCACCCAGGCACCTCAAAATTACCTTTTGAATTTGTGTTATTTAAGTGGAAAAATCATATATTTTATTTTAGAATATTTATAATCTTCATATTAATATTCAGAAGTGAAACTAAATTCTAAAATACAACAGCTTAATGGACACCTTGAGACTGTTCATAAAAATCAAAGATCTTGGGGCACCTGGCTGGCTCAGTTCATAGAGCATGTGACTCTTGATCTCGGGGTCATGAGTTCAAACCCCACATTGGTCATAGAACTCACTAAAAAAAAATTCATATATTGTACATACATAAACACTGACCTTGGACTTCTGGCCCTCGCTATTGTTTAGTATATGTGGTTGAGTCCCTTTGCTCAAGTTTGCAGACTTTGGTTGTAAAATAAATAAAATAAAACCTAAATCCAGAGTATTGTACCATAGAGCTAATTGTAATTACTAAGTACATTGGAATTTCATTTTTTCCACAGGATGAAGGCTGGGGAGAAGAAGCTAAAGTAGAATTTTTGAAAATGGTAAATAACAAGGCTGTTTTAATGAAAGTTTTTAGAGAAGAAGATGGTGTGCTAATTGTAGATCTTCAGAAACCACCAACAAATAAAATAAGCAGTGATATGCCTGTGTCTCTTAGAGATGCATTAGTTTTTATGGAGTTAGCAAGGTAGGTAACTTACTAAAACAAATACTTTTGAGATTATAGTTCTAAATTGGAATAACAGTTTACCTTTAAAAACTATGGACTGACTCTAAAGTGAATGTAATCTAAGAGGTTAAAAATATTGCTACCAGAGTTTTCTAAGTACAGTTGTCTGAAAACTGCATTCAGATAATTTAAGAAAATAGAGAAATTAAGGTAACGCAAAAAAAACTATTTGTAGATACTGAACATTTTTTAGACTCTTCATAACTTCACAAACACCTCCACAAGGGTTTTAAGAATTATAGTTTAACAGTTTCTGACTTAAATTTTCTAACCTTTGGAATAAGTTCATGATCACCATTCTGTATTTAATGTGTGAATCTAGAATAAAGTTTCTTCCTCCACCCCCATCACTGATGAACAAAGTAAGATGACTAACGATAGAGATAGTGAAAGATACTTTTTGTCCTGAGTGATGAGATGACTCTAGAAGTGACCCAAGTAGGTCTCATTGTGGAAAAATAAAAGTAGTATTAGAGCTGGATGGAGTCACACAAACCCCTCAGGTGGCCTTACTCAGTGCTACCATAGTCCATGGTTGTCAGTTCCTGAAAGGAGAGAGACTTTGAGTAGAAGATACAGGCCTGGCTCAAAAATGTCCCAACACAAATTCAAAGGTCAGTTACTGATTTTTGAGACTTGACATCTTATTTAACCTGGTTTGATAATTGGAGACAATACCAAGAAATGTATTAGAAAAGAAATTGAAAAGCGAATACCCTTGGTAGATAAATCAGTAAGTCCTTTCTTCAGACCAAGCTGCTGAGAGAAGAAAGAATTTAAGAAAATGACATGCTTATGCTTTTGATTGTGCTTTTAATCAGGTTTAGGTCGCAATCACCAAGAAGCCACTCTGAAAAGAATATGACTTTATACTATCACCCACCTATTTTGCCTAAAGAAATGACAGATCTTTCAGTTATGGTTTGTCATATAAATAGTCCTGCCGATTTCTATCTTCAGTTGGTAAGTATTTAGTATTCCTTTGAGACAAAGTATTTTTTCAAATTTTAAGTAGAAATGTATAATGGGAATGAATACCCAGTATGAATTTTAGAGCAAACAAACCACTGTCAACCTTCTGTAAATTTACGTTTCTTAGCTGCAACTATAAATGAGAAATTCACATGATTCATTGTAAATTGAAGGAACTCTTCATCATGCAAATTAGTGAAATATGGAAGGAAAGGACAGTGAAGGATACCTAATATATGTGTTTCTTGCCACCTTATGAAATCTAGAGAGTAGGAAAGCGCATAGACCTGACATCAGAATACTATTCTCATTGTGGTTTTGATTTGTATCTCCCTGATGCCAAGTGATGTGGAGCATTTTTTCATGTGTCTGTTGGCCATTTGGATGTCTTCTTTGGAGAAATGTCTATTCTTATCTTCTGCCCATTTCTTGATTGGATTATTTGTTCTTTGGGTGTTGAGTTTGATAAGTTCTTTATAGATTTTGGATACTAGCCCTTTATCTGATAGGTCATTTGCAAAAATCTTCTCCTATTCTGTCAGTTGTCTTTTGGTTTTGTTGACTGTTTCCTTTGCTGTGCAAAACCTTTTTATTTTGGTGGAGTCCCAGTAGTTCATTTTTGCCTTTGTTTCCCTTGCCTTTGGAGACCTGTCTAGCAAGAGTTGCTGCAGCCAAAGTCAACGAGGTTTCTGCCTGTGTTTTCCTCTAGGATTTTGATGGATTCCTGTCTCACATTTAGGTCTTTCATCCATTTGGAGTCTATTTTTGTGTGTGGTGTAAGGAAATGGTCCAGTTTCATTCTTCTGCTTGTGGCTGTCCAATTTTCCCAACACCATTTGTTGAAGAGACTGTCCTTTTTCCATTGGATATTCTTTCCTTTGTCAAAGATTAGTTGACCATAGAGTGGAGGGTCCATTTCTGGGTTTTCTATTCTGATCTGTGTGTCTGTTTTTTTTGCCAGTACCATACTGTCTTGATGATTACAGCTTTGTAATAGACCACCTCACACCAGTCAGAATGGCTAAAATTAACAAGTCAGGAAATGACAGATGTTGGCGGGGAACTCTCCTATGCTGTTGGTGGGAATGCAAGCTGGTGCATCCAGTGTGGAAAACAATATGGAGGTTCCTCAAAAAGTTGAAAGTAGAGCTACCCTATTACCCAGCAATTGCACTACTGGGTATTTACCCCAAAGATACAAATGTAGTAATCCGAAGGGGCACCTGCACCCCAATGTTTATAGCAGCAACGTCCAAAATAGCCTAACTATGGAAAGAACCCAGACGTCCATCCACAGATGAGTGGATAAAGAAGATGTGATATATATATATACATACATACACACACACACAATGGAATATTACTCAGCCATCAAAAAAATGTTAGCTTGCCATTTGCAACAACATGGATGGAACTAGAGGGTATTATGCTAAGCAAAATAAGTCAATCAGAGAAAGACAAGTATCATATGATTTCATGGATATATGGAATTTAAGAACAAAACAGGAGCATAGGGCAAGAGAGGGAAAAACAAAACAAGACGAAATCAGGGAGAAAATCATAAGAGACTCTTAATCATAGGAAACAAACTGAGGGTTGCTGGAGGGGGAGGGGGTAGTGTAACTGGGTGATGGACAATAGGGAGAGCATGTGATGTAATGAGCCCTGGGTATTATATAAGACTGATGAATCACAGGCCTGTACCTCTGAAACCAATAATACATTATATGTTAATTAATTGAATTTAAATTAAATGTTTAAAAAAGAATACTGTGAGAAAACCTGTTTCTGACAGTGGACGTCTGAGAATTTACACATTATTACTAGGTAATTTTCTGAATTTGAACACAAAATAAATTCAGATCAAAGGCATTTCATATTAAATTTTGGATGTGGACTGATGGGTTTGTTTAGATAGCTACTAACAATGAGTTCATCCTTCTTGATCTCTTTGTGTCTGTGCTTCATATGAATTAACTCATTCTAAAGGCCATAATGAGTGAATAATTCATTAATCTTCACAACAGTCCTATGAAAAAGATAATAGTATTTTCATGTAGATACGAGACTCTAGCCAAAGGGATAAAGCAACTTGCCTGAGGTCACACAGCTACAGAATGGAAGAGCCAGGATTGAACTGGGCAGTGTAACTTCATTCAGAGCCTGTCATCTTAATCACTGTACCACACTATAAGGGCTCCCCAGATAAGTTGTGGAAGTCTGCTTATTTGGCACTAAGTAAGGACTTGCATATATTTCTTTCACTGAATTTTTTTACAGTGCCTTTTATTTAAATTGAAGTAAAACATATGTAAAATGTCTTTTATCTCATTTTAGCCATTAAATGTACAGTTCAGTACCAATAAATACTCAGTGTTGTGCAACCATTGCCATTATTCATCTCTAGAACTGTTCATTATCCCAAACAGCTCTGTAACCATTAAACAATTCCCCATTTCCCCCCTCCCACAGCCTCTCATAACCTGTCCTACTTTCTTTTTCTGTGAATTTATCTATTCTAGGTACCTCTTAAGTGGAAATAGAATATCTGTGTCTGCCTTATTTCACTTAGCATAATATTTACATATTGTAGCATGTATTAGAATTTCATTCTTTTTCATGACTAATATTTCATTGTATGTATATACTATATTTTGTTTACCCATTCATCTGTTGATGGACACTTGGATTGTTTAAACCTTTTGACTGCTGTGAATAATGCTGCTATAAGCATGGGGGTACAAGTGTCTGTTTGGGTCTCTGCTTTCACTGAAAGTTCTTTTGGGTATATACCTAGCTCTGGAATTGCTGGCTAATATTATAATTCTGTTTAACTTTTTGAAGAACTACCAAACTGTTTTCCACAGTGCCGCACCATTTTGTATTTCCATTAACAATGCATAAGAGTTCCAGTTTTTCCACATCCTCACCAGCACTTTTTTTTTTTTTTAAATAGCCATTTTAAGGGTATGAAGTTGTATATCGTTATGGATTTGATTTGCATTTCCCACATGGCTAGTATTGTTGAATACATTTTTTTCACGTGTGTATTTATTAGTCATTTATAAAATTTCTTTGGAGAAATACCTATTCCAGTCCTTTCACCAGTTTTGAATTGGATTATTTTATATCAATCCTTTATCAGATATATAATTTTCAGATATTTTCTTCCATTCTGTGGGTTGCCTTTTTACTCTCTTGATAGCATTCTTTGATCCATAAAACTTTTTAACTTGATAAAGTCCAGTTTATTTTTTCTTTTGTTGCCTGTGCTTTTGTGTCATAGCCAAGAAATCATTGCTGAATCTAACATTATGAAGTTTTTCCCCTATGTTTTCTTCTAAGAGTTTTATAGTTTTAGCTCTTAAACTTTGGTCTTTGATTCACTTTGAGTTAATTTTTGTATATGGTATGAGAGAAAGGTCCAGTTTCATTCTTTTCCATGTGAATGTCCACTTTTCTCAGCACCATTTGTTGAAAAGATGGTCTTTTCTCCATTGAATGGTCTGGGCATGCTTGTCAATACTCAGTTAACCATATATGTGAAGGTTTATTTCTGGGATGTCTATTTTATTCCATTGGTCTATCTGTCCTTATGCCAGTAGCACACTGTTTTGATTACTGTAGCTTTGTAGCAAGTTTTGAAATCAGGATGTGTGAGCCCTCCAACTTTGTTCTTTCTCAAGATTTTTTGGCAGTTTGGGGCCCCTGAGATTTCATATGACTTTGAGAATGGGTTTTTCTATTCTGCCTGAAACATGACTGGAATTTTAATGGGATTGCATTGAATTGTAGATTGTTTTGGGTAGTATTGTCAACAGTATTAGGTCTTCCAGTCCATGAATGTGGGATGTCTTTCCTCTTATTTTGTCTTCTTTTATTTCTTTCAGCAGTCTGATATGGTGTATAAGTATACAAGTCTGTTCCTTCCTTGTTTAAGTTTATTCCTAAGTGTATTCTTTTTTTTTCTGGTATTGTAGAAGGAATTGTTACTTTCCAGTTTAGATTGTTAATTACTGCTTTATAAAACATAACTGATTTTTCTGTCTTCATTTTAGATCCTTATAACTTCACTAACAGGTTTTTTTGGTGAGCTTTTTAGAGTTTTATACATTATAAAATTATGTCAGCTGCAAAAAGAGATAATTTTATTTGACAATTGGAATGCCTTTTCTTTTTCTTATTTAGTGGCTCTGGCTATGAGTTCCAATATCTTGTTGAGTACAAGTAGAAAACTCATCTTTTTCTTCTGTCTGAGGGGGAAAAAGGATTTCTCTTTTACCATTGACTATGGTATCTGTGGGTTTTTCCCATATGGCCTTTATCGTGTTGAAGAAGGTTCCTAGGAATAGTTTATTGAGTGTTTTTATCAGAAAAGAATGTTTAGTGTTGTCAAATACAGTTTTTGCATCATTTGAGATGATCGTAGTTTTTATTTTTCCTTCATTCTGTTGATGTCTACTGCATTGTTTTTATTTTATATTTTGAACCACCATTGCATTCCAGGAATCAGTCCCCCTACATCATGATATATAATCCTTCTAATGTAACACTGAATTTGGTTTGTAAGTATTCCGTTGAGGATTTTTGTGTCAGTGTTCATAAGTGATACTAGTCTGTAGTTTTCTTGCCCTGTCTTTGTATGGCTTTAGTTTCAGGTAATGTTGACCTCTTAAAATGAGTTAGGATGAGTTTCTCCCCCCCACCCCCAGTTTTTTGGCCAAGAAGGGATCGTGTTCTTTGTTTAGGTTTTTATGTAAACTCCAGTTAATTAACATACAATGTAATATTAGTTTCAGGTATACAATATAGTGATTCAACATTTCCATACATCATCCAGTGCTCATCACAAGTGCACTCCTTAATCCTCATCACCTATTTCACCCATCCCCCCACCCACCTCCCTTCTGGTGACCATCAGTTTGGTAGAATTCATCAGTGAAGCTGTGTGATCCAGGGCTTTTCTTTATTGGAAGTTTTTGATTACTGAT